TAAAGGAGCACTGGCCTCTTGACATCATCTTAAACATTTCTGTGAATAGCCAGAAGAGCTAGTAGCCCTTTTATTGCCCCATCAACAACAACAAGATTTCATTTATAGAGCGCCTTTCACGTCGGGAGGACGTCCCAAGGCGCTGGACAGTTGGGTCAGGACCCGAGCAGGGGGGAAATGGTGAGGGGAGGGAAGGGAGCGAGCGAGGAGGAGGTAGAGAGTCGAGAGGGGAGCTGAAAGCACGGTCAAAGAGAAAGGTCTTGAGACCGGCCTTGAAGGAGGATTATATCAAATATATAGCAAAGCACTGGTTGTCTGCTCACAAATGCAAATGGGGATCCTAAGTTTTGCTTAAAAAGACACGCTTTCTTCAGATTGTTACCTAGTAATCATGGCAATCCCAGTGTTGAGGACTGAAATATCCGATGACCAGGATCCCATTTGCCCTGATTTTTACCTAAAACTAAAGTCATCAGAGCAGTAACCACATTGCAGATTAGAAAATATGGAACCAGATAGAGGGTGAGATTTCTGTTGTTCATGAGAAGGTCAAAGTACTGGGGACATGGTGTACCTAGCAATTTTACTGCAAATGTCACTGCTCTTTGCACATTGACTGATGACTATATCTGCTCCCGGCAGGGGGTTAAAATGGAACATTGTCATTGGGTAAAGTGTAATTCAAGATACTGTATCAGGTTTGTACACAGAGACGTGCACAACAACATGATGGAATGAACTCATCACATCAACAATTTAATCTGCCGCTATAGATTTTTCAGTTTAAACTTGAAGGATAGTGTTCATGAGAGGAAGGGGAAAAGGAATGTACCCCGTATGTAGTGCTTTCACTTTCCACCTGCATTATTTAAACAAATGAAGTAAAGTGCAGAACGCAAAATTTACTGGAGTGAACAGGGATATATTAAAACTCTTTAGTTACATTTTACTAAAGGACGTCAAATCAAAAGACCTTGATTAAAGTATATTGTTTCATTAATGAATCTTCCTCCCTGAATCTGCACCGTGTTAGGTTACTCAGGCTTTTCTGTGGAGCTTCTCCAGTGAGGTATAATACCGACTCCACACAGTAATCCAGAAATCAAGATTTAGGATCCAACAAGTGCAAAGATGGAGGCCCAAACCAGGAAAACATTCACAGTACTAGTACTATACTGCCATTTTGAATGACATAATTGAATCTAGGTCGATTCAAAGTTCAGCAATGGCTGCACATGAACTGTGATAATAATACTTACATTTGATAATAGTGGCCACGACATAGGGAGAACTTCTCAATGTGCTTCACAAGAATTACTATAAGGTGCACTAACATTTTGTAGCGAATGCAACAGCCAATTTGAGCACAGCAATGTCCTACAAACAGCCATGAAGAGAATGATCAATTTTATTTGGGGGATCCCAGGATACAGAGAGCAACTTCCTTTTTTTGAATAGCGCCATGGGATCTTTAGTGTCCATCTGAACAGGCAGACGGGGTCTTGGTTTAACGTGTCACCCAAAAGATAATAATAATAATAATCCTTGCATTTGATAGAGCGCTTTTCACGTCTTCTAGACGTCCCAAAGAGTTTCACAGAATATACTGTAGAGTGAATTGACTATATTTGTGGGCGAATGCGGCAGCCAATTGCGCACAACAGTGTCCCACAAACAGTCATGGATTGAAAATAACCAATTTATTATTGTTTTTTTTTGAGGGATTATTATTAGGCGTGTGGAGTAAGGAAACTTGCCCAAGGTTTCGCCCTGCCTGGAATTGAACTCAGGTCTCTCACTTGCACAGCATATTGTCCCTGCTCTGAAGCAATCCACTTCCATCGCAGAGACACCATCAGTCAATGGGAATCCTTGTGGAATTTCTTATTAATCCTGTTAAGAAACATTGTTACATTTCAATATCTCCTACAAGGTAGAAGGAATTGTTCCGTTAAAATGAAGTGATTGATGAGTAATAATAGTAATCCTTACATTTGATATACTGTCTTATCACCTTGCCAAACATCCCAAAGTGCTTTACAGTATTTATGGCAAAGTATAGTGACTGTGTATTTTGTAGGTGAACGTGATAGCCAATTTGCACATAGCAATGACCCAGAAACAGCCCTGAAATAACTGATCAATTATACTTGGGGGTTTGTTTGCCAGGCCACTTTCCTTCGCTTTTCAAAAAGTGGCATGGGATCTTTAACACCCACCTGAACATCTCATCCAAATACTCTCCTATCAAATTAACATAAAGTGTATTGCAAATACCCCACTCAGTTCTTCATTAAGTATCTATGACCGTTCTTGTTTGGTTTGTTCAACAACAACTTGGATTTATATAGCGCCCTCCACGCTGAACGGCGTCTCAGAGCGCTTTACAGTCACGGATCCCGGGATCGAGCCAGGAGGAGGAGGAGGAAGGTGACCAAAGGCGCGGTCGAAAAGAAAGGTCTTCAGCAGAGACCTGAAAATGGGAAGGGAGGAAGAGAGGCGAAGGGAGTGAGGAAGGCAGTTCCAGAGCTTCGGGGCGTAGTGGCTGAAGGCACGGCCGCTGAGGGTGGAGCGGAGGACTCGGGGGACGAGGAGGTCAGAGAGGTGGGGGGGTGCAGAGGAGTGCAGGGACTTGAATACAAGGATGAGGATCTTGAAATCGATCCACTCTGGGATAGACAGCCAGTGCAGTCTGGCAAGGACTGGGGTCAGTCTTTTAATGCACAAGATACTTTAATCCCAACTAATGGTGAAGACAGCAATGCAAGAAGCATCCAGACCCAGATGAGTCTGCAAGTTTAAATTCCTTGCGGGTGGAATGACTGACTGGTTGATTGGTAATATTACAACAAGAACAACAAATTACATTTATATAGAGCCTTTCACATCGAGGGGATGTCCCAAGGCGCTTCAATTACCCTATGGGGAGCTTTGAGATGTTTCACTATTACATAGAAAAATACAAGTCATTTTCTTCACCACATTATCTCCCAAGAGACCGTTTGGGCCATTTCTTGAGAACTTCCAGTTGAAAAAAAGTCACAATATTTATCTACATTTGTATCACAGTTTTCCACAGATGATAATTAAGCTCCAGCAGCAGAAACCACCCTATTCCAGTGTATTTGAGTATCCCAACTATACTTATCCCTTAACCTTTAATGTCAATCTCACACATTCACATATATAATTAAAAAAAACTCTCGCTATTTCTCCACATAAATTCCCAGTGGCTCACAGTGAATATTGTCAATTAGTCTGCGGGGCAGGTGGCTGCTGTGTGTGGGTGTGTTTCTGAACCTCTCCAAGTCAGCCCTCGGTGTGGAAGGACCTGACTTTACTGACACAGCAAAATCCTCATGGACTGGGAAGCAGCAGAGCTGATGCAAAGCCAACACATCAGCAGGTGGCGGTGTCATCCTTCTCTCACACCCTCACAAGCACCACACACACATACACACATACATACACATACACACCACACACACATACACACCACACACAAACACACCACACACACACAAACACATACACACCACATATACACAAACACACACATACACACCACACACACACCACACAAACACATACACACACCACACATACACAAACACACACATACATACACACCACATACACACACAAACACACATACACACCACACACACACACACACATATACATACATACACATACACACCACACATACATACACATACACACCACACATGCACACACACATACATACACACCACACACACACCATACACACACAACACATACACACCACACACAAACACACAACCACATACACCCGAACACATACACCATACACACACATACACACCACACAAAACGCACACAAAAAACACACACACATACAAGACACACACACACACACGAGCCATTTGGTGACTGCACTGATTAGCAAAGTGAGGGGAGAGGGAGAGGGGGGAGAGGGAGGAGGGGGGAGAGGGAGAGGGAGGGAGGGGGAGAGAGGGAGAGGGGGGGAGGGGGAGGGGGGGGGGGGGGAGGGAGGGGGAGAGAGGGGGAGGGGGAGAGAGGGGGGGGGGGAGAGGGGAGAGGGAGGGAGGGGAGAGAGGGGAGGGGGAGAGGGAGGGAGGAGAGGGAGGGAGGGAGAGAGGGGGAGAGCCGCCTTCTCAATCCTGAGTTTAGAGGGTGAGAGAGAGAGAGAGAGAGATGGAGACAGACTTCCGGCTGCTTAAATCTCGCGAGCCGAGTTGGGGGGTGGGAGGGGGTGTACTGTGTGTGTGTATATATATATATATATATGGTGGGGGGGGGGGAGAGGTGGCGGTGCTGCGGTTTTGTGCTTCCGCTCGGACCTGCCCCGGTGTGAGGGGTGTGTGAGGGTGTGTGTGTGTGTGAGGGGGTGTGTGAGGGGGGGGGGTGAGGGGGTGTGTATGTGAGTGGGGGGGTGAGGGTGTGTGTGTGAGGGGTGTGTGTGAGGGGGGGTGTGTGTGAGGGTGTGTGTGTGTGAGGGGGGGTTGTGTGGGTGTGTGGGGGGGGGTGTGTGTGTGAGTGGGGGGGGTGAGGGTGTGTGTGTGTGAGGGGGGGTGTGAGGGGGTTTTGCCCACTCGCGGATGCCTGTGAGAGTCGCTGCTGCTACTGCAGGCATTTGAGGTGGTGACTCCTTTCCCCCCACTCCACTCCTCCTCTCATCCCTCCCTCCCTCCCTCCCTCATTTCCTCCCCCCCCCCCACTCACTCACTCTCTCCTCCCCCCCACTCCTCCCTCCCCCCACTCTCTCCTCCCCCCCCCCCCCCCACCCACCCTACACCACCACCACCAAAATTAAGGAATAACAAGAGCGACAGAGAGTGGAAGAGGCTTCTCACAGAGAGATACAGTGTGTGGAGTCCTGCAACATTGTATCCCCACAGCAGCACAGAGACATGTAGCCGCTCAGTCAGTCAGTCAGTCAGTCACCAGCCAACCAGACAACTTTCACACTCACTCACTCACTCACACACACACACACTCACACCTTTAACACACTCTCTCACACTCACTCACACTCAGTCTCCGCTTCTCCTGTGGGCAAAATGACCGAAGACGCCTCCGAGGTTCCCAAAGAGCTGCTCGGTAAGGAATCCCAATGCCAAGTTGTAGGTTATTTATATTTATATGTGTGTGTATATATATATTATATATATGTGTGTGTGTGTGTGTGTGTGTAGAGGGTCGTGCACAGATTTCTTCTGGTTAGCGATGTATATGTTGAGCGAGGAATGCACACACCACCGCACACACACACACACACACTCACTGCTCAAACCGCAGTGAGAATTTTGCAAAGCAAATGCATTTTGCTGGTGGGGGTTTTTTTATTAAAAAAAAATTTTTTTTCTTGCTGTTCGTCGTCGCTTTCAATCGTCGACTTGTTCTCCGTCCTTCTGCATAAAACACCTCCCCCCCTCCCCTCCAACCCCCCCCCCTCCCCTCCAACCCCTCCAACCCCCCCCCCTCAAATGAATAGATGGCGTTTGTGTTCAGTGACAGTGTCAGTCGAGCTGCTGCTGCAGACCTTAATATTTCATGCCCTTTAATCTGATTTTATTTTGACTGGCGAGTTGCTATTGAGAGTTCCCCCCCCCCCCCCACACACACACACACACACACACTCCTTCTGCCTTAAGGGTTTCTGGATTCAAAGCAAAAAGGTCCGCACACAAAACCGGTGGCTTTTTAACACACGAGTTAAAAGGCTCAATCATTGATTCCAAAGCCATTCCATGGAAATCCGAGACTTGTGGCCCAAACCCCCAGTTTTGTGTTTCGCTGCTGTTTTCCAGAGAGCGTCAGGGATGTTATCGGGAGGAAGGTTAAAATTGCCTTGAAGAAGAAGGTGAAAGTGGAGATCAAAAGTGACAAGGTGGAAAATAAAGTTTTGGTGAGTGATGAACCGTTTATTAAAAGAAGAAGCTGTAAATCTGCCAATATGGTGAGGTCTTGATCTTGGTCCTTTCTCCCCCCCCCCCCCCCCCTCCTCTCCCCTCTGGTGTTTGCATGTTTTTGCTCTCTTGGCCCAGGATGCGAAGTCCTATTCCATATTGCAAAACTGTATATAAACCGATAAGCTTCAGGACTCGAGTCCTTTGACACTTGATTTGTTTTTGTTGACAAGTCTTGTTGCAAAGTGCCTGTGTGGTTGAAGCTTCAACGTCCCGACTTCAGTCAGAAAGCCTAATGGCAACAATCACAGAACACAAGCCATCAAAATGAGATCTGAGAGCAAAATGAACTGTGCTCTCACAAGAAATGGAATATTTTTAGTTGTGGCCGACATGCAGACGTGCTGCTGTCGTAATTGACGGTGTTTGTGGACCCAGTGGGGATGCTTTGTGAACGCTTTGATCTTTATATGAGTGTGTGTGTGTGTGGGGGGGGGGGTGCAGTCTTAATTCAAGTGCATGGGAGCTACATTTCAATGATATTTATTGGAGTGACTTCATTATTCAGTGAATTGCGATGCTCAAGTCCCCAACAAACAAGGACATTAATATAAGATGCCTGGAAGATCCAATAAAGAGTTCAGGAGGAACGTCTTCATTGCAGAGGGCACCGAGAATGGGTGCCGGAAGCGGCGGTTCAAATAAAAGTGTCAATGTATTTAAGAAAGAACTTTTATGCGTAGGTGAGGGAGAAGGGAATAGAGTGGTATGGGAGAGGGGAACAGCAGAGGTGGGGCTTGTGTGTAATATCAACACTGGACATGGATGAGTTGGGCCTAATGGCCTGTTTGGATGCCCCATCACCGTATGTTACAGTGTGAGAGGAACACAGTGTCTTATTTTCATATTATTGGTATGTAGAATACATTCAATTGAGTGTTCATAAAGTTAATTTTGGCTTGAACATGTTTTTCTTTGCTATGAAATTGGGTCATCTGCGTGGACCTCTGTATGGTTGATTTTTGTTTTTAAAGAGTTTTGAAGATGGGTTTGTATGTGAAGCAAATCAAGCAATCTGTACTGGAGCACAGTCGTAGATCGCGTGCTTGTCACAGCTTTATAAAGCATTTAACGTGTGATACTGTGGCTTCATCCATTACTCTCCAGTCCATAAACTATGAGTCATCTGAGTCTTCAAATTTGTTAAGTCAATGTAGAAAGGGCAAGTAAGGGTTGACATAAACAAGAAAAGTAACCGATTGCATGGGAATTCCTCTTTGAACATGCTCAATCCCAAGACTAAAATGCAGTTGAATGTAACCATGACGAATTCAGAGGGAGTATTTTTGCTCAAAGTTTATTTGAGGGTACAATCATACCAAATGATAAGATTTGCTTCATTTTGAAACTGAATGTTTTCCACAGCATTTAGAAATCACAGTTGAATGCTACACAATTTACTGTGGAACATTGTGAGTTAGTAATTTTGAGAATTACAGTACTTACATGAGTTCTACAGATATTGTTCCCATTTATAGCTGAACTCACACTTTTTTACTGCACCAAAGATAATTCTGATAGTATTGTTATTATACATTTGTTTTACTATAGTATGATTTTGATATTGTTTTTCGATAACTAACATTATCATCTTATTCATTATAATTCTGCCTCTGGGAATATTATTGGAATGAATGAAGGGATAGGATTCACAATAACTTTCCACTAATAGCTTGGATTTTGGAGTAATTGCTTCGCTGGATGTAGTTATCTTTTCTGGCCCCAGTAACCTGAATATGCCCATAAATTGACTATGGTAAATATTTTGGTCTTGTGATTCACATGGGTATTAAGGGCCCCCAATTCTCTTTCCCCCCATTCATGTCAAATATTTCCATAAATTGGCAACTCATCTTGTTGTTTGGAGGACATTACAGTACACTGCAAATTTACATTTATGTAACACCTTGGATGTCGAGAGGATATTCCAAAGCACTTAATAATACTAGCTAGTTGCCCAAGCTAAGGATAAGAAGGGGAAGATGACCAAAGGAGAGTCTTGAGATGGACATTGAATAAGGTGAGCGAGTTCCAGAGGGTGGGGGTAGTAAAGCTGAAAGTCCATCTACCGATGGTGGGGCAGGTAGGGTGGGGGATGTGAAAAGGCTGGTGCTCACTGAGTGAAGGGAATGGCTGAGGTTGTAGGGTTTGGGAAGGTCACAGAGATGGATGGGCTGTGAATGTGAAGGGATTTAAAGGTGCAAATGAGGGACTTGAACAATCACATTGCTGGTGATTACCAGCTGTGTTTGCCTGTATTAATTTCTAATTCTCAATTTCTGAAGTACTTTGGGAGGCTCTTTTACATCAAAGTAGCTGTATGGGCATTGTTGAAGGACAAAAAAACTTGTTTTTTTTACAAAAATCTTGCATTTAATATGATGCCTTATTCTGTTGTCACAACATCACAGAATTTTACCATAAGGTGTTGTGACTGTATTTTTGTGGGTGAATGTGGTAGCCAAATTGCACACAGCAATATGCCACAACACCCATGAAGCGACCGGGGGGAAAATGGGAGGCCTTTAACATCCACTTAAATCACAAACCGAGGCACGTGGAGTCCTGTAGCTCAGTGGTTAGAGCACTCGCCTCGCAAGCAAGAGACTTGGGTTTGATTCCGAACAGGGCAAAACTTTCGGCAAGTTTCCTTACTCCACACTGCCTCTGTTTATCTAGCAGTAAGTAAGAACCCGGTTGTTAGTCGATTGGTGGATCGCTTTTCTGGGGGTAATAATTCCTTTTTTTAAAAAAAATTAATTGGTCACTCAATCCACGACTGTTTGTGGGATACTGCTGTGCACAATTGGCCATCACGTTTTGCCCACAAAATATACAGTCAAAATTCTCTTTACAGTATATTCTGTGAAGCCTTTTGAGACATCTCAATGATGTGATAAGGCACTATATCAAATGCAAGGATTATTATTACTTTTTTTAAAAAATTGAAAAAAATTAGCCACCCACTCCTTGGCTGTTTCATAGAATCGTACAGCACAAAAAGAGGCCATTCGGCCCATCGAGTCTGTGCCGATTCTTTGAAAAGAGCAACGTAATATCAATCCCACTCCCCAGCCCTTTCCCCATAACCCTGCAAACCCATCCTCCTCAAATACCCGTCCACTGCGTTTTTAAAAGTTGTTATCGAATCGGCCTCGACCACCCTTTCAGGCAATGCATTCCAGATTCTAACAACTCACTGCGTGAAAAAATGTCTTCTCACCTCCCCTCTGCTTCATCTAGAGATGATTTTGAATCTGTGACCTTGAGTCACCAACACACCCACTAGTGGAAACAGTTTTTCCCTTTCTAACCTATCAAATCCTCTCATGATTTTGAAGACCTCTATTAGGTCTCCTCGTAATCTTCTCTGCTCCAATGAGAATAATCCCGGCCTCTCCAGCCTTTCCTCATAATCAAGGTCCCTCATTCCTGGTACCATCCTCGTAAATCTCCTCTGCACCCTTTCCAATGCCTTAACATCCTTCCTATAGTGTGGTGCCCAGAACTGGACACAATATTCTAACTGAGGCCTAACCAGTGTTTCATATAGGTTAATCATAACCTCCTGACTCTTGTACTCTATGCCCCTATTTGTAAAGCCTAGTATCCCATATGCCCTTTTTACAGCTTTATCTACCTGTCCTACCACCTTCAAGGATCAATTTACCTGCACCCCCAGGTCTCTCTGTTCTTTTACACCCCTTAAGATTGTCTTACCAGCCTATATTGCCTCCCCTCATTCTTTCTACCAAAATGCATTACCTCGCATTTCTCCACATTGAACTTCATCTGCCATGTGTCTGCCCATTTTATCATTCTGTCTACGTCTTCCTGCAGTAGGCTACCATCCTTCTCACTGTTATCACCCTACCTAACTTTGTGTCGTCTGCAAACTTGGAAATGGTACTTGCTATACCCAAGTCCAGATCATTTATGTATATTAAGAAGAGCAGTGGTCCTAATACCAATCCCTGGGGGACGCCACTGTACACTTACCTCCAGTCAGAAAAGCAGCCTTCTCCGTTACCTCATCGAAAAATTCTATTAGATTTGTTAGACAAGATCTGCCTTTAACAAATTTGTGCTGGCTGTCCCTAATTAACCCATATTCTTCTAAATGAAGATTTATTCTGTCCCGGATTATAGTCTGCAGGAGTTTCCCCACTACTGATGTTAGGCTGACTGGCCTGTAGTTCCCAGGTTTGTCCTTCTGTCCTTTTATGTACAGGGGAGTCACATTGGCCACTCTCCAGTCCTCTGGCACCACTCCTGTGTCCAACGAAGATTGAAAAATTGTAACCAAAGCCTCCACTATTTGAACCCGTGCCTCCCATAGTAACCTTGGCTGCATCCCGTCCGGACCGGGCGACTTATCTACCTTCAGCGCAGTCAACCTTTTCAGTACTTACTCTCTGTTTATACTTATCTGTTTCCTCTACCCTCTCCTCTGATACTGTGGTATTTGGTGCATCCACTTCTTTTGTGAAGACAGATGCAAAGTACACATTCAGTACATCTGTTTGTGGGACACCACTTTACTGAATATTCTGTGAAGTTCTTTGAGTTGTCTTGATGACATGACAAGGTTCTATTATCAAATGCAAGCATTATTATTGTCTGGAGACACCAGATTAGGCAGACTCTGGGAGAAACGTTTTCAAATAGTGCCTTTGGATCTTTCACGTCCACCTCAACAGTCAGACGTGATATTTCTTTTAACTTCTCATCCGAAGGAAAGCACCTCTGACAATGCAGGGCTCCCCAACAACAACAACAAATTACATTTGTATAGTGCCTTTCATGTCAGCAGGCACTGTATTGGAGTGCCAGCATTGACTCTGAGCTCAAAGATACGACTGACATGGGGCTTGACCTCACAATCTTCTGATGCACAGTTGAGGGTGCTACCAACTGAGGCAGACTGACAGTCAGCCTG